TGTTTGTATATGTGCTTTTATTCTGCTGCTGTTACAACCAGATTTCCCCTTGTGGGACAAGTAAAGGATTATTCTAAGGCATATTTATTCATGTTAAACTCTCCCTTTAAAGTAAAATAGTAAAAGCAGAAAGCTGACAGCAATAAACAGAATTTTGCAAAGTGTTTACAAAAATAAAACAGTAAAAGATTAAAAATGTTAAGACAATCTAAACCCCTAAGTAACAAAGTATTTGATTATCAGCTCTGCTGATAATGTTGAGGATGGCTGACCTGTTCCTAGGCAGCGGAGAGGCTGTTTTGTTTTTGTCTGAAGTGTGCAGTTTGGTCTTCATCTCATTGATCTCTGCTTCTTTAAACTGCAGTTCAGACTGCAGAGACTGAACCTGTGCACAGAAAACATGCCAGTGTCACATTATTCCAAAGGATCATAACCACCATATGCTCTATGCTTATGTGTTTTTAGTGCCTCACCTTCCTGTTAAGCTCCTTTTCCCTTTCACTATACTCTTTCTGTCTCTGAGTGTCCAGTAGGGTCTGATTCTGTCTCCGAGCCTCCTTCTCCTGTTGAGCTGCTTTTAGAGAGTCCCTCAAGACCCGGATCTCCCCGCTCTTCAACACAATCTCCTCTTCCACCTCCTTCAGCTAATAACATACACAAAACACAATAACTTATCTAAATAAACAAAAAAACGCAGAAATCCTGCTTTGTAAGACATTTGCTACTGATGAAAATAGATACATACATCTAACGTTCTAGTACAGATATCCAAATTTGAACCAAGGCTTTATTGTATACTTCCATGTTATGGAGAGAAACTAGAAATGGCATAGAGTCTCAGGTTTGTTAAGGAGTATAGACATTATAAAGTTAAAATACTATAATAATTTTCACAAAATATTAAAGCTACGTGAGAGGAAAAAAATGAAGGAAGGAAAATTTGCAGCCTCCACTTTCTTAAAAAGAAATCAGGACCTTTTGGATGTTGTACTTTTGGACAGTCTCCATTTTAAAAGAGCCTCACCTTCCTCTTCAGCTCTGCATGCTGAGCCTCCAGGAGACCGTAGGAGTCCTCTCTGTCTGACCCAAACTGCTGCTGCCTGTTACCTGAACAGCAACAGCTTTATCAATGTGTTCAGTACAAAAATCGACTGTATTAATACTTTGATAATGATTTTTGCATTTGCATGTTAAAGGACTTTACAAAAACTTTCCAAATACAAACGATTAGCTACACACTAATTTTTTCAAAGGTCTTTTTCAAAATGTAAGGAAACACATGAGAAGATATTTTGTTTTCTTATCTTCCTGTTTACAAGCAAAGATCGATGATTTTACTCAATTTCAGCTCTTGATTGGATTAATTAGCAGGTCCATATCAAATGTTTTATTTACAACTTTTAGCCATTCATCTGTTTTTGATGGTTCTCCTGACTCCTTCACAAACATCACATTTTGTCATCTATTGTTATATCATCTTGTCTATCTATACACACGACTGTACTTGTGAATACTGTCTCTGAAAGGACAAAACACCATAAACAGTGCCCACGTTTCAAATGCCCACTGGCTTTTGGTTACATAGAGGAGCAGATTCTGTGCCAGATGAAGGTCCAAAACACTTTTCTTAACGTGATAAAGAAAAAATAACAGGAACAGATGAGATGGAATTCACACCTTTTCAATTCTGGACTAGGAAGATAAAATTGCATGTGGTTTATCGTGTTAAATAACTGTTGTTAAAAAGAATACTACCCTCACAGGAACTGTGTAGACATAAGCATAATTCTTTTTTGAACACTGACAGTGATATATTCAGTCTCCATCTCGTATATTAAATTAGTTTTTATGATATTTCAAGAAATACTACAACAGGTTAGGGGGTTTTTTTTTAGAAGGAAGACACTGAAAAGGTACTTTAATGTGCTGCTTGCATGAATATCAAAAAATAATTGAATTTGCTTCAGCTATTTCTAAAGGCAGCTCCCTGAGTTTTAGATAAAAGAATGAAATATAACATTTAACACATGTAGGACGGTTATTACACTGGTTTCCACGTAATTTTAGAACAGATTTTAAAATCTGAATGCTTGCTCTTAAAGATCCTGCAAATCTTCATCTTCATGAACTATGAACCAGCTCCACCACTTGGGTTATTTTCCAGGTGTCTTCTACTACTACTACTGAAGACATAACCTTTATGCTACTGCAATAACCTACAAAATCCTAATAATGGTGTGCCACCATTATCAGTATGTGTTTAGCAGTGCCTTTCAGAAATCCAGGTACTTATCAATTAATTTCATTTTGCTTATTGCTCTACTTTTACTTTGGGAGTTTTATCAGATTTCCAAGGCTACCATGATTTATATTTATTATTTCTACTTGTTTTAAAGGCTTAACTTATTATTTTTTTCATCTAATGCTTTTTTTATTGCCTTGTTGTTGAGTGCAATTTGTAAAGATTTTATTTATTCACCTGCTCAAGCCCATCTATGAACTAACCAAAATTGTATCAAATTACATTTTCCATATAGTTTTGTGGCTGCAAAACTGTAATATGGACTTTTTTATGCAGCTCATTTTGCTTCTACAATGAAAGTGCTACATTTTTTTTTCAGAGAGCTACATAAATAGTTTTTCTTGCTTGCAATTTTCATTTAAATCAATGGTAGACTAGAAAGACAGAAATCAATCTATTCAATGATTAATGCACACGATGAAAAGGAATTAAGCATACTGGAATGTAATTGCCAGTGGAATTAACATTCCACAGCATATTTAAATGTTTAATAATTTTTCTTCTCCTCTTTGCTGCTTCCTTTAGAGTTTACCCTAACAGATAACTTGCTTCCATCTCAAACCATCCTTAGCATCCTCCTCTTTTACACCAGCCCTCTGCCCATCCTCCTTCACTACATCCACAAAACTTCTCTGTGGTCTCTCTCATTTCCCCTGCCTGGAAGACCCATCTTCAACATCCTTTGTCCAATATATCCACACTTCCTCCTCTGCACACATCCAAACCTTGTTAACCTTGCCTCTCTAACTTTGTCTCCAAACAACTCCACCTGAGCTGCACCTCTGATTTACTCATTTCCAACCTTGTCTATTTTTGTCACTCCCAATGAAAACCTCAACATCTTCCACTGACACCTCTAGCATCTCCTGTCTATTTATCAGTTTCCAAACCCTGCCATCTTGTAAACCTTCTATTTCACTCCCGTTCTGATCCTTCTGTTACAAATCACATCTGAAACTCATGTCCGCTCACTCCACCTTTCCTGCACTCTCTACTTCACCTCTCTTGTGCACCTTCATTGTTTTGAATGACTGACACGAGTTATTTAAAATCACCCACCTTCACCTTTCCACCTGTCTTCCTTTAATTTACACACATAATGCTCTGGTGTTTAATTAAGGGCATATTTTTACATAAATAATGTTAATAATAGTGTAGATTAAAAAAAATACAAAATAAATACTCACCCAATGGTTCTCTACTTGGTATCCCCGCATTCTCTCTGTGGCTACTGTTTAAAGAAAATGCATTTTCTCTGCTATGATTAGATGTGGTTTTGTTCACAGGTTTGTTCTGCCCAAAGGAGGATGGCCAGGATGACCCGCGGGCTGGCTGAGTCGTTTTGGATCCTGTCCCTGGCTCTACACCTTCCGAAGCCGACGTGATGGCTTGCGAGGCGATATCATCGATTTCATCTAAAACTTCCTGGGTGAATTCTTCATCATCTCCAAAAGGGTCATCAAAAGCCACTGCTGTCACTACATCCTTGTTCAGGCCACGGAGACGCTTTGTTGGGGGACAGTTCATGCTGCATGGGGGGAACATATCATTAGCATTTGTGAGTAATTCGCATGCATGCATATTCACAAACACTAAGACTAGGCGACTGTGTGGGTCTCTTAGGAATAACTAGTATAACTGAAGATAACTATTTTAATTAAACCCGTACTTTGCGATTAAAACTGATTCGTTTAATCGTTTCAAGACTAGCCCTGAAATAACTTAGTTAGGTACAGCATCAGCTAATAACTTATTAAGCAAAGGCACGTTCAGGAATTGAAAAAAAAACTCAGGCTAATGTGACTGAAGCAAAAAGAAAAAAGACCCCAAAACGCATGTTTCTTATTTTAGCTTAACTACATGCATGAACACGTACAAGTTTCTTCTGACTTGATTGCGTTACCTTGCCTCTGGCTTCTCTGGCTGTCGCTGCTGCCAGCTAAGCTAGCAAAAACTAGTCGTGATTTCCAATGGGAAGTTAGCCTGCTAAGCTACAAAACCTCATTCAGTCAAAACAATATTTGGATTTATTGATTAAAAAGACATAGAGAGTGTCTTAAATAGAACTCCTTTACACGGCGCCCATGAATTAAACTGTGAAATGCTGTATAATATGGTACAACAGCACATAAACAACACCAAACTAAAGTTGACAAGACAGAAGTGTGTCGTTCATCCCGCTCCGGTGTGCCTGATAACGTGACCAATCATAGTACTGCTTTCGCTGTTCGGCCAATCATTGACACCGAATTCCTAAACTGGGTCTTTTACAGGTACCCGTTTGAGACAAACTATACTAAACGCGCAAATTGGTATCCTTAAAGGAGTAGCTACGCATAATAGTTACTGATCTTGTTAAGGGTGAACTCATGACTGAAGCTTTCCTTAGAACACTGTTTGGAAATAAGGGAAATACCTTTAT